AAAAAAAAAAGACTCAAGAAACAACTACCACTACGAAACAACTAACACAACAAAACACAAGACGAGCTACACAAGACTCAAGGGTTCTATTGATCTATACCATCTTAACAATTAGGTAATCATACTTTTTCAACAATTATATATACCTTTAAAGTTTACTAACTATTAGACAATTATATATACCTTTAAAGTTTACTAACTATTAGACAATCATACGTATTCAACAATTATATTATATATACCTTTAAAGTTTACACTTCATTTACACTTCATAAGTGTACATTTTATTTAAAAAAGAAAAAGAAAAGTTTACACTTCATAAGTGTACATTTTATTTAAAAAAGATAAAACAGATCAACCATTCTAATAGAGAGATTGCTTGGATCATAAAACAGCCCTAAGGCACCATAAAGAACACAAGAACCAACAAATAGTTTAACTAGCCAAGACATTATAAATCATAACGACACTGGAACGAATTTATTATCATCATTACACGATTTATGATCAGATGGGGATAATATCGTAAAACTATTCGAAATATACAGGGATAATCGACAATTTTACAAAGCAGCCCGAGAGAGAGAGAGAGGGGTACCAATCATACACAACCTAAAGGTAAAAATAATCATATAAGTTACAGTCGAGACAAAATTTCATGAATATTGTAAATTAATCTAGATTTACTTTATGTTCATAAAAGTAAATCTACATACATATATATACACTCAGAACGAAAATCATTCCCCGTTCTTCCATTCCCCACACCAACTCTAGTCTCTAATATCTTCTCGATCCGTCAATCATAAGAAGAATTTCTGAGGCACAGCACCACACCTAATGAACGATAACCGAACAAAGGATAGGAGAGAATAAGCAAAAATGTATGCACATTAAATAGATAGGGTAAAATCACAAAAATCTACCCTCGAGGTCAAGCCTGATCACTCAAACACGCATTTACCATTCAAAAAACAAATGAGCCCTTTATATGATATTATTATGAACATCCCCTTGAAGTTTGTCGTTGTTAACAAATACAACTCCAGTAAGAGCGTGTTCGGTCAAAAAGAAATGAAAATGAAGATAGCACTTGTAACTATGAAAGGTAGCTGGGTTTAAAGGTAATTAGACAAAATGTAAAAGGTGTATGTATACACACACACACACACACACACACACACACACACATATATATATTGTGAATAATCCTCGATAAAAGAAAACACAATAAGGCACATCCCAGTGATACCATTTTTTGAAGATGATGCCGCAAACTTGTCATCTTGGCCTCCAATATGGGCCTGAAAAACGAAAAAGAACAATTAAAAAAACATGCAAAGAAGTAATACAAGTACCAAAAATAGCAGAAATTGGCTAAAGCTATTGTTTGTGGTACATCTCAAATGGTGGTACAACTCATCAGATTCACAGCTGAATTTCAGCTTAATAGCTTTTTATTTTAACTGAACTGATTTGCTTCTTAGACCAAACTTGCACTAAATTCTTACAAGGATGAATTAAAATAAAATCTTCAAGGGACTCCTTACATCAGTATGTCCCATAACATTTAACATCGGTTCATGAACTCAAGTGCAAGTAATCACAAATTGCAAATCTTTACTTTTTCTCCCTAAGAGACGATAAACATGCGCACCTCTATTCGCCACAGGTATAGGTCCTTCAGAAGGTGGCCTGTAAGGATTGAAATGCCTGTGGTTCATGGGCCGCGAAGGGTAATTCCACCTATTGTGTGGGCCCGGTGGCTCTCGAGGTGGCCCACCATACGGCATGGGCCCATTAGCCATCCTGGATTCGTCAGGATAGCATTGACCTGGGAAGTAAAAAGAACATTATGATTTATAAGTTCATTTTTTAAAAATTGTTAATCCTAAAATTACCTAAGGTCAAAACAAACAAAATAAAACCAGGAAAGATTTTTTTTTTTCACTCTATTTCACTACATGAATAAGTGTGTTTGTATCTAAAATAATTCAATCCATACTCACAATCTAACTCAACTTTAACTCAACACTATTATCCTCAATATTACCAATATAATTAAATAATATGAATCAATCACTCTTACACATCACATCAACTTTATTTTACTATCCATCCACTCACATAATTTTAACTATCACTTCACACATCATCTTTTATATCAAATCAACTTTAATTATTCTATTTCAAATATTTTATTTTAATATAAAATCAAAATCCCACTAACTAACCATACAACTTTTTTCAAAAATAACTCTGGTTAAAAAAAAAAAAAAAAA